GTTGTTGATGGGTGCACAGTGTCTGTGGAAGTCTCTCTATGCAGCATGTGAGCAATTAAACGTAATTAAATTAAGTTGCATGCTAAGTGTTTTGTATCTGTGCTATGCTGTCAGGAAATGCTGCTGTTCCCATTATGTGTCATTCTCCAGTTGAAACTATAACAAATCTAGAAAAAAAAAGTTCTATTTCTGATTATAACATAGAAGCCACAGTGATTATCCTTATAGTTAATTTGTGTGTTGATATTTCACTGACACAAGCTCACTTGGCCTTTTAATATCCCGTGTTACTGGCATGTAGACACAAACACAGCAAACTCCCACAGCGTATATTGTGGGTTCAGAGTAACTGTGGGCTGGCTAATGGCAAAGACACTCATCCTGGTTGGAAGGAGAGAGGAAAAGGTTCAAATGATTATTACTTAGGGGTTGAAAACCTCAGAACTCCCTCAAATCCTGAACTTCTAGTCAAGAGACCATCTCCTCCTCCAAGTTTACAGCAATCATGTTCTAATACCAGTATGCCTTTTAAACAAATATCTTAATGTTAAAATCTCCAGAGTGTTAAAATGCAGATCTGGGGGCTCCAGACAGGAACAAGACAAGAAATTCACATTTTAAACAAGCCTTCCCAGGTGATGTCTTAAACAGCTATGATTACTATCCGCTATTGTAAATACTAAGAATCATAGGGTGCCCCAGATCTGATGCCAAGTTGAAGAAGCAGGGAAGCAAGGAAAGGGTATGAATGGTCCAGTCTATTTCTAAGAGAGGTTTTTAATCATCACAAGACAGACTCCTGGAAGGGAAATGGATGAATCAACAAATACCCTGAGGTAAAAGTCACATAATGGGTCAGATGCTTCCTTTATTTATGATATTCATTTAAGATTAACAATATTCTCAGCATTGTAACAGGTGTACAATAGGGCAAGGTTACAGCCAGAGGGGAAAGATACGAAAGAGGGGAACTCAAATGTCCAGCAGGGACAGACAAGTGATAGAAAGGAGAGGGGGGGCTCTGGAGAACAGGCATATGCACACCCCATCCACATAGGGCTGCAACTACTCATGCTTGTGAGACTGTGTGGGGAAGGGGACACTCTATTGTCACATGGTCTATCGTCCAATGGATGTTAAAATCTGGATTTTTATGCAAAATCTCCTGATTCATAAATACTGGCATTATGTTCAATTTTTAAAACATTGTGAACACCAAATATGATTTGTCTAAAGACCAGATTTAAGATACCAGGTAAAAACTTATATGTGAGATTTCTAGCTTTTGTGTTTTCTAGCTTTTGATTTTCTCTTGGTTAAGTTGATGAGTCATCAGCTAAAAGATGAACAGCAAGACACTTCCCTAGCATTCAGAGCTGTGTACTTTACCCAGAAAGAAGAGGAAAAAGAGAAAGAGGAAGAAGGAAGAGAAACCTCCCCATGATGAATTCTTAATGGTCACCATCACTGCCAATAGTGGCAGAAATTCATAACTCTGTGGGTGATGAAAGCCAAAAGTTAACAAATACATCAATCTATTATCAAAGTACACCAACATCTGCCAGAGCTATTTGCTTTCATAAATTGGTCTCCGGCAAATGTCCTTTGACAAATAAAGACATTGAAACAAAGGAAAACATAAACAATGTGTTCAAAATCAAATGGTTGGCCCCGGCAACTTTTCCAGCACCCCAATTCTGTCTGCTCTGATTTCCTTGAGCTATTTCTACTCCCTCAGCTGTGAATCTAGAATAAACTTAACCAGAAAATTGCTGTGTAGAGAGACAATGGGAAACATTATGGAGTTCATTTTATTCCTTAGTCCAAATTCTAGTTTACCCTCTAGAAAACAGATCTTAGGAACCTCGAAGTATCCAGGCAGGCACAATCATTGAGCCTGATGTTTTTACCACCAAAATAAAAAGGAAAGTACAGTAGTACCTTCTGATTATGGAAAACATCACCCATAGAACTTAAAAAATATGATAAAGCAGTATAAGAGAGAACTATGTGGTTATTGTAATCCACATAAAATGTTCAATTATAGTCCTATTTTAAGAGACAGTTCTGCCGCCTGCAGTAGTACTTAATTTTTAAATATCGATGCGGAGAAATGTTCATTTATTCAAGCTGTGTTTGAAAAAGCATGTAATTGAAAAATACTCTTTCTCATACAGGAGTGAATAAAAGACCTGTTGTAGCTTTAATTCTTCTTTGATTCCTGCTTTTATCATTAGTGCTGTAAGACAGTCAAAATATCTCATGACTACAATAATCTACTCACAATTAGTTTTCTGAAACGTGAGAAAAGGAAGACTGAATTTATCCAGTCTCATACATACTTAGTACTTTGACATTATTAAAACTACTTTGAAAGTCGATCTTGAAACACAATTCTCCATGAACTCAGAGAGAGATTAAACTTGTTCCTGTCCAGGTCTTGCTAAAAGATAATTCTCTGTGGCATTCAGGCTTACATTCAGGAAATAACTCCTCATTTTACCTTTTCCTTTAATTAGAATTTCTCCTCCTGCAGGTCAACTCAAAATTCTTACGCTTGAGATGTCTGAATGTGAGGACCAATTAAAAGTCTATTCTTAATAATGATAACAAATTCATTCTGCCATCTGCTCAATACCATTTTATGAAGACCGGTATACATTTTCGTTAAGAGTGTTCCAGAAGATACAGCCCCCCTCTGCTTTAGGGAACACAGTTATCAGTCTTAATTTTACTCATTCATGAAAATTGTCCCTAATTCCTTCCATTAATTTCCAAATACTCACCCTTCCTCCTTTCTTTCCTCCTTAGTCTTGAGGATTTTTAATTCACACAGTTACCTCAGACCAGAAACTCATTTCTGATGGAAAGTTAAGGGGAACAAGCAAGACTATCTAAGTAGGAAAAAATTCACTCTATGAAACACCTAGAAGGTTCTTGGTCTTTGAAATAACATTTTGTCCAACAAACCCCATTGTTTAATATAAGAAAAGCTTTCAGCATTGAAGAGCAGGTAGCTGAATGGATAGCTCAGAAGTAAATAACTCTTTGGCCCAATTGCTACACCATTTAGTGCACTAGAAAAAGTAACTTGCTAAATGGCCTCTGGTCACGTAACAGTTAAATGGGCATCCAAGAAGTGAGCCAATGACTCCCTTCCTAACTGTATTATTTCATCTAATATGTGGCTGATTTTATATTGCCCGTCAAAGATGTGGCCTTTTTCATCCTGGCCATTGGCTTTGGTTCTAGTTCTATCCAGACTGACTGTGGAAAACTTACATCACATCATCACACACAGACGCTTCCTCTCTTAAAACAGAAACTCCCTTTGGCCTCAAATCTTTTCTAAACCAACTCATTCAAGTGTTCCTCCCAAATATTTACTTTTTTCTCTCTCCAAGTGCTCTACATTTGTAGAGCTGCACTGAAGCTCATTCCTGGTCCCAGAAATCTAGCATTTAAACGATCTCAAGAAGCCATTCCAAGAAAAGCCAGCTCTCAGAAAACTGGAACTCCAAAATCGGAAAGTGCTTCGGCCCTCCCGGCCTTCTCTCCCCAGTCCCTGAAACTAAGCTGGTAGTGACAGTTCTCAACCCTGACTGCAGCATCAAATAAACCAGACAGCATTAAAAATCCCATTTCCCAGGCTTCACCCTAGATGGGTTACGTCAGCAGCCCTGGGGATGGACCTTGTCATCAGTATTCCTTAGAGCTCCCCCCATGATTCCAATGTGCAAGCAATGCTGAGAATCACTGTTGTAAAGTCGAGGGGCTGCAAAGACCAGCCCTGAATGTCACAGATCCTGAAGAAGGCTGTGCCTTGACAGCACGGACAAGGACAGCCCTGGGCTCTCACTCCCTCACACCCATGTGATCTTAAGCAACATCACTGAGCCTCTTAAAGCTTAAGTTCCCTCATGTGTAAAATGGAGATACGCTGACATTCTCTGGCACGCGGAGATTTAATGAGCTAAAATATGTAAAGCACCTACTCCTATACCTAGCACCCAGTAAGCACTCAAGAAATAATAGTAATAGTGGTAGTAGTGGCAGTAGTAGTATGTACAGGACATATTCCTTGCCTTCAAGGAAAAGGTAAGCAGAGGTTTGCCCCCTCCCAGCCCTGCCCAGGGATTTAGTGGCAGGCCACGCCGAGAAACCTTGTCTCCTGATTCGTGGCCCAGTAGACCTTCCACGGCACCACACTTCTGCCCTGATGACCTCAGCCCTCCTGTCACTGAGTTTGGTGGCTGCAGAGGATTTATGCAGTAAATAAGGCTGGACATGGCCCCAAAGCTCTTTCCCATAAGAAATATTATGTTTTAAATCTACTTCTTGAAAATACACTTCAAGAGTTCATTTCTTGCTTGAGAACTAGCACAACTTCAGAAGGTCTCGATGAACTCGGAGCCATTTCTCATCAGCTGCCTTCCGACCACAAAGGACCTCGTCCCCACAGGGACCGCCACTGCCAGAGCCTCTGAGCTCCCGTGGAAACCTTGGTGAAGCGGCAACCACCCTCGTGAAGACTTCCAAGCCAGTCTCTACACCGACTACATTATGCTGATGAACCCTGATATCATTCTCCTGCTCAGCCTCCAAGCAAACTGGGTATAATGAACTGAATAAGTCAATAAATGGAATAGGTCAATAAAATCTATTCGGGGAGCAAAAATGACTTCAAGAGGGCACTGTTACAAGCAAACAAGTCCATTTCCATCATTTTGGAAGGAAGTCTGCATTCAGAGCTTTCAAAAGAAGATTACAAGCCTTTAAGGTAATGGGCAATTCCACAGTTACTCACTCAAAAGTATCTGGCCTGAATTAAATTTTGATTGGAATCCTATGATGCTATATGCAAAATGCTTTATTAACTGTGTATTCAGTAAATGCACATCTTCTCAACAGACTCTCCAGTTAAGGCAGACTGCGCTGAATGCCAATTCTCATCCTTATCAAACATGGCAAGAACATCCAGAAAGTCAAATGTCACTTACCTATTCAGCATCACATCTTGGCCTCCACACAACCCTTTGCAATGTCTCCTTTAGCGGTCTTGACTTGAAAGTGAGTACAAAAAGCGGTGCATATACAGGTCAAAAAGTATTCTGCTATTATGAGAAAGTGTCCTTTATACCTGAAAAATAAACACAAAGATCATTCTCCTTTCCTGACTGAACAGTGAGTGAGGTGTGAGATGCGATGCTTGGAACCAAAGCAGCAATCTTGTCACTGTAAAAAAAAGACTGGCCTGAAAACAAAAGCAAAAAGCACACTGAGGGTGTCCAAGAGAAAATTTATAAATAATTTAGGACCATGAGTATGTCATTAAGCTGTTGAATTCACCAGTTGTTGAAACCACCTTACCTCCTACCATCACTCTGACGTTCTCTGGGAAATCGTTGTTTCCTATTGATGCCATAGCAAATTACCATAAACTTAAAACTACACGTATTCATTATCCTACAGTTCTGGAGGTCATATGGCCAAAAATCAAGAGCCAGCAGAACTATGTTGTTTCGGAGGCTCTAGGAAAGAATCCATTTCCTTGCCTTTTCCAGCTTCTGCTGCATTCCTTAGCTCACGGTCCTTAACTCTCTTGATGGCGAGTGGAGCAGCATCTGCAGATCTTTCCCTCCTCTCTTTCTCTCCTCCCATCATTACACTGCCTTCTCTGACTCGGACTTTCCTGCCTCCCTCCTTCCAAGACCCTTGTGATTTCATAGGACCTCTTCAGATAATCCGGTCTAATCTTCCCATCTCAAATCTTTAACTGAATCACACCTACAAAGTCCCTTTTGGCACGTAATGTAACATATTCACAGGTTCGAGGATTAGGACATGGATATCTGGGGGAAGAGGGACATTATTCAGCCAACCACAGATCTCAAAGCAGGGAATATTTCTTCTGACTATATTATGACAGAGAGCAAGAAGGTTGATATTGCCTTGGGACTAAACTATAGCGATGTGTTCTTGTCTCTTCCATGTGGATGAAAATTGTTTCTGATCTTTTCCAACTGGGCTTTAAAACAATGTGTTTGCCAATGCTGAGGTCTTATTAATCTTGTTACCAAAGCAAACTTGGATCTGCTCACCCAACATGCATCAAAGTGAATCTACTGACACTGGGTTGTGATGAAGGAAAGTACAGAGTTTATTGCAAGGCCAAGCAAGAAGAATGAGCAGCTCACGCTCAAAAGGACCAAATTCCCCAATGGCTTTCAAGGAAGAGTTTTTATACATTTACTTTTTAAAAAAAAAAAATTATTGGGGTACAGTTGATTTACAATGTTGTGTTAGTTTCAGGTGTACAGCAAAGTGAATCAGTTATACATATGCATATATACACCCTTTTTTAGATTCTTTTCCCATATAGGTCATTACAGAGTACTGAGCAGAGTTCCCTGTGCTATACAGTAGGTCCTTGTTGGTTATATATTTTACATGTCAATCCCAATCTCCCAATTTATCCCTCTCCCCATTTTTCCCCCGTTAATCATAAGTTTGTTTTCTACATCTGTGACTCTATTTTTGTTTTGTAAATAAGTTCATTTGTACCATTTTTTTTTAGATTCCACATATAAGCGATATCATATGATGTTTGTCTTTCTCTGTCTGACTTACTTCACTCAGTATGACAATCTCTAGGTCCATCCATGTTGCTGCAAAATGCATTATTTTGTTCTTTTCTACGGCTAAGTAATATTTCATTGCATATACGTACCACATCTTCTAAGGCAAGGTGAGGCAGATGGTTGCAGGGTGTGTGATCAGCTCGTGTACATCCTGATTGGTTGGGGGTGAGGTAACCAGGTGGTATTTCAGGAATCTCAGTTATAAATGTTCTGGCTCCAACTGGTCTGGATTCTACACCCTGGTCGTCATCATGCAGTTAATTTTTTCCACCTGGTGGGGTTTTAGCATCTGCAGAACAACTCAAGGATATGGCTCAGGGTATTATCTATAGCCCTTGAGGAGGAACTAAAGGTCCTTGACTTTGTTTTATGGCTAAACTATTACTATTTTGTCTTACTTGACTGTTTTCTTTTGTTTCTGCATTTTCTCACTTCTCTGATTAAATTTGCTTTGGAACTTCACAACCCTTTCTAATACCCATCCCAATTGGGACATTGCTCATTTCCAGGTTTTCCTCTCAAAGATAAGGGCTTTCTGGTCATTTTTCTATTCCTAGTATCTTAACTCAGGGCATTTGCTCAGTTATGCACTAAATAAATGAGTGAATTAATAAATGAGATGGTGGCAGGGAAGCAGAGAAATCACTTGGTTTGGAACAGGAAACCATATCAGAACCCTGAGAAGGTAGCATGCTATAGTGAATATAGACTTGGAACTGGACAGATCTAGCTCTTCACATAATCTCAGATTTGAGGAAAGTCTTTTCTCTGAGGATCAGTCTTCTCACTTGTCAAATAAACACTGAGGGAGGGGGGAGAATGTTTTGACGAATAAAATCGATATATAAAGAACCTAGAGCACAACCCAGATTATAGCCAAATTCCCACAAATGTTACTCAATGTTATTCTTTAGGCAATTTTTGTGTTTTTAAGCCCAAGACCATTGTCAGAAATGTGTGAGCGTTTTATTTGGAACATACACACACAAAGAAAGAAAATCCAGATCTCTTCTCTACATAATATTTATTTATATTCTGGGTTAAAGGTGGGAGGAGTTAGGGCTCATAAAGGTCTTCTAAGGCCAGTGTGCCTGGTCTCCTTGTAAGTGCTGTTAAGATTATCCCAAAAAGAAACTGTCAGCTCCTCTATGGACTTGGATTTTCTGGCTTCGAGAAAATGTCAAAAGGGGAACAGCCTCAAGATGTGTTTTCTCCTTTCAAATATTCAAACAGTTTTTGTATACAGTGTTATCATTTTTTCATTAACATAGCTGCTTTAGTCATAAAAACTCATGATTTTCAGATTCAATTTAAAAAGCAAGATTTTTAACCACAAGTACCCCACTCCATGAAATCGATTAGAAGGAAAAGCTAGTCTATCAGAACAGGGTGTTAGGCTCTACCCCAGGGGTAGATTTGGAGATTATTGGGTAGCTACCACCGCAAGGAAGGCAGCCTCCTTGCCCTCTAGCCATCCCGCATCAAAAGGCCCTACCACTAGAAGGGGTCCGGAGAATTCTATGCCAGTACTAGAAAAACTCCCCATACTCCTTAACCCACTAATTACAGGTCTGGGAATTTATCACAAGGAAGCAATCAGAGCTTTACAAAAAATATTCAGATACTCATTGCGATGTTATTTTACAAGAGCAAAAAATAGCTTCCATTTCCAAACATTGGGTATTGCTTTAGTAAATTTGGGTCATGATGGATTTTAAAGTTTGGGGAGAATATTTTATGATGTGGGAATATGCACATGATATATTAAACTTAAATGGTACAAAAATAAAGCATATAATATCATCTTGTTACAAAAAGCACAACGAATGCCTGTGAGTACATACGCACAGAGGGTAAACCCCAAAGTGCTCATCTCTGAGGGGTAGAACTATGAGTAAATTATTTTCTTCTTCACCCTTTTATTTTCCCAATTTTTTATCGTGAACTTTTATGATCGGGGGAATTGCTATTGATTACACAGAAAAGTAACTCAGAGTTTATGTCATGCTGCCAGGGTGAGCTGGTAACTTCACCTTCATGCATGAATAATGGCAGAGTTCAAACATTCCAGAACCTCACATTTCTGGCATGGTTGCTTCTCTCCAGACTGTGGCATCATACTTCTCTCAGTATAAAAACAATCATATATAATTTTATCATATATACATATACACACGTACAATAAAAATTAAAATATTGGCTATTTATAAACATCTGAATAACTGAGATATTGAAAATTACTTCACACTGTACAATCTAAAGTTTTGCTCAGATCAAATGTCTGTCTTCTGAAGATAATGAACAACCTTTTCTTTTTTTAAGTTGAAGTATAGTTGATTCACAATGCCGTGTTAGTTTCAGGAATAGAAACAACTTTTTAGATGCTCACACCAGTCTGCTTCACTCCGAACAGGTGAAAAAAGAATTCATTTCCATGTTCATGAAATCGGTAAACTGGGCTTCCCCCAAATGTTACTTTAGCTAAGCTGTATCAAATAATGCCTCAAAAATTCAGAGCATTCCTTCACACTGAGACAAAGTGATCTGGCAATCTTCTAGTCAAAAGATTTCTCTGTAGTATGATGCTATCAATCATTTAAAACCAGGACTTGCAAAGATAGGGTGTTAAATTATCTGAGAAACACTTTATCACCCAAGTCTACATGATGCTGATAATACAGAATTTATTCTTATTATATTGATTTTTTAACATGAATTTCATATATTGCTGTTATGATCATCTCTCAGCTTGATTCATATTTATTAAATAGAAGGCAGCTAAGTAAATGGAATTCCAGATCTTGGCAATCTCTTCACCTAACTGGGCCTCAAATTTCTCATCTGTAAAAGAGGGAGTTGTATTGATAGATTTGAGGGTCTTGACACCACTGACATTCTATAACCTGTGGCCATTGCCACAATCTTATTTTAAGTAGGAAAACAGATATGAGCAAATATGAAGCCATATGCCCAGAACCTAAAAGAGATCAGAATGAGCTTGTATGAAATTTGGCTACAAACTTAAAGAAATCCCTTCAGTAGGTCAATGAGAACTCTAGGTTTCCTCTTTATTTATTTATTTTTTTTATTTTTGGCTGTGTTGGGTCTTCGTTTCTGTGCGAGGGCTTTCTCTAGTTGCAGCAAGCGGGGGCCACTCTTCATTGCGGTGCGCGGGCCTCTCACTATCGCGTCCTCTCTTGTTGCGGAGCACAGGCTCCAGACCCGCAGGCTCAGTAGTTGTGGCTCACGGGCCTAGCTGCTCCACGGCATGTGGGGTCTTCCCAGACCAGGGCTCGAACCCGTGTCCCCTGCATTGGCAGGCAGATTCTCAACCACTGCGCCACCAGGGAAGCCCTAGGTTTCCTCTTGTTTCAAAGTTTTTTTGGTATGTTTCATCATTGGGAATTTCTAGGGCATATCCGTGGAATTGAGGGTCTATGTGCTATACATAGTGGATTCTCATCATTCACTATAAAGTCACCATGAATACTGAATTAGC